CTTTCTCTGTGTGTTTCTCTCATAAATAAACAAAATCTTTTTTTTAAAAAAAGGATTACAAATTATTTTTTTTAATTTTATTTATTTATTCATGATAGTCACAGAGAGAGAGACAGAGAAGCAGAGACACAGACAGAGGGAGAAGCAGGCTCCATGCAGAGAGCCCGACGTGGGATTCGATCCCGGGTCTCCAGGATCACGCCCAGGGCCAAAGGCAGGCGCCAAACCGCTGCGCCACCCAGGGATCCCAGGATTACAAATTAACCACATGAGGAATTTCTTAATCAGAGCAGCAGAAAACCAGTTGTAATCACTTTTTTTTTCCCCTTAATTTTTTAAAGGAAGGTTGACTTCTAATTAACTTCTAATTTGGCTGAGCAGGGAGGTTGGGCAGAAGGGATAGTTTCAGGTGAGAGGATTCCAAACTCTCAAATCCTATTTGGGATTTGTCATCTCATGCATGCCCCCCCCCCCCCCCCAGAGCCCAAGTCAAGATAGGGTTATGAGGCTGGGATTCGGTGAATTGCAATTTCTGTTTTCTCCTATTAAGTTCCGAAGAGTCTGTCCTTTTTCCTTAAAGGGGTGCTCTAAACAGGGTGCAGGAGTAGGTGATACCAGTTAACTTAAGGTCTGCGTTTTACAGAACATTCAGTTAGCAGGTGTTTCCATTCAATAAGCCAAACAGGAAAGGGGACTTCAGCTAGAGGGCTGGGCAGTGAGGGGTTCTCAAAGGCAGTAGCCTGGTTCCAGAGCCTTTGCTCTGGAACTCAGAGTTCCTTTCTTGGACAACAAGCAAACAGTCCAGTCAAACAGTGTTCAGCCATCTGTTTTTTTTTTTTTTTTTAAGATTTTATTTATTCATGAGAGAGAGAGGGCGAGAGGCAGAGACACAGGCAGAGGGAGAAGCAGGCTCCATGCAGGGAGCCTGATGTGGGACTTGATCCCAGGACTCCAGGGTCACACCCTGGGCCAAAGGCAGGCGCTAAATCGCTGAGCCACCCAGGGATCCCCCAGCCATCTGTTTTTTTTAGAAAACAGTCATTTTTTTTTCTTTGTCTGTTGTAGGAGTTACCCCTTCCTCCCCCATGATGCAAGGCTTTGCATCAGAAACCAGCAACCCAACCCAGAGGTTGGGCCTTAAAGTCAGCAATTATGCTGTGCTGCTCTTTAGTCTTTAGATCAGACTGATGGATTGTGGCAGGTGTCCCCTGCATACGTGGCCTCCACCACTCAGCTCTATGCCTGCCTACTTAATTTTCCTTACAGAGTAGTTTGGAGGAAGAGGACTCTGGAGTCCTTGGTATCAAGTGCTCTCCATCCTGAATCACCACATACTCACTGCTTTGAGCAAAAGTTCCTCCCTACCCTGAAGTCTCCTGTCTCTCCCTGAGAGAGGGAAGCTGGTGGGAGGAGTGGAACAGGAAAAGGGAGAAGCTGCTTTGACCTATGCTAACGTCCACTCTGTCTTTCCCGGCCTTTTTTCCTTGCCTATGACGGACGCCAGAGAGACCAGGCAGGCTTGTCCTCAGCCTTTCCCCCCAGACCCTCAGCTGCTGAAATAGTTCATAGATTGTTCTGCCACACTGGTAATTCCCAAGCAGCTTCTCTATAACCTAAGAGATTGTTGAGGTTAGAACCCAGAAAAGGACCCAGGAAATCTGAAGCCTCCAAAATGTGAGAGGCTCTGTTGCTGGCATCTAGGATTTCTTTTTGTTTGTTTTAAACTATTCACAAGAGGCACAGAGAGAGGCAGAGACACAGGCAGAGGGAGAAGCAGGCTCCTGGGGAGAACCCGAGGCGGGACTTGACCCCAGGACCCCAGGATCACGAACTGAGTCAAAGGCATATGCTCAACCACTGAGTTACCCAGGCATCCCTGACATCCAGGATTTCAGTTCAGTCCATCCGATCCGTGGAATTTCTGCCCCTTTCTGCCAGTCTCTGGAGCAGAGACAGGACATTTGGAGAGGGGACTGAGGAGAAAGGGTAACAACCAACCAAACAACCCTCAGCTTCCTGAGTCAGGTGCCTTTGAGTTCCTGAAGGCTGGGAAGGGCTAGCAGCTGGCCTGGTCCCCCTAAGAGACTTGTTCTGAGTGGTGGAGTGGAAGAGGCCCTGGGTCAGGCTCTTCAGCTGAGAGGTGGTGAGAGGTCAGAAGAGCAGGCAATGACTAAGGCAGCACACCTGGTGGAAGGCATTTGGGTTTGGAGGCCAGGAGAGCCGAGTTAAAAACAGTTCCCTCACTGACTAGCTGTGTGTCCTGGAGCAAGTTACTCTATTTGACCTTCAGTTCAGATGTCCTGTGTCATAGGGTTGATGTAAGGATTCAATAAGAAAACCTACAAAGCCATTGACATAGGACAGATTCTTGATAGATGTTATTTGCCTTCTCTCTCCACTCCTGTGCTGCCCTGGGGAGAGGCTCTATCAGCTTGCCCCCACTCTGTGGGCTGTGACATCCCTACACATGCACACACACCACCAGCGTGTGTCCTTGGTTGCATTCACACACACACACACACACACACACACACACACACCCCAGCCTGTGTGTCCCTGGTTGCATTCACATACAACCCCCACAGCCTGTACAGTCGCATCTGGGCTATGGGCAGCCTTCCCAGGCAGGTAAGATAAGGAACCAGCTCGCTGATGATTGGACAAGCTGTGGAAGTGCTCATCACAGTGACCTAGTCACATCAAAGGGCCTTAGGGAAAAGTGTGGAAAGGAAAATAAGAGGCAGTAGTGGGCGGTCACTTCACAGGTGTTTTCCCCAGAGGAAGGTGCTTCTCGAGGGACACTTTGCCCGCCTCTGCCAGGGAGGCCCTTGTCCATGCCTGGAGGTGCAGGGTCTACAGCTCTCCTGCCCATCAGAGTGGTACTGGCTACATGTGGCTTTTGAGCACTGGAAAGATGGCTAGTGCTACCAAGGAGTGGACTTTTAAGTTTATTTCAATTTAAGTTAGTTTATTATTTTTTTAAAGATTTTTAATTTATTTATTCATGATGGATACACAGAGAGGCAGAGACACAGGCAGAGGGAGAAACAGGCTCCACGCAGGGAGCCCGATGTGGGACTCGATCCCGATCCTGGGTCTCCAGGATCATGCCCTGGGCTGAAGGCGGCGCTAAACTGCTGAGCCACCGGGGCTGCCCTAATTTAGTTTAAATGTTAAAACTGACACTTGATCTAGTTATTGGAAAACTTTTCATATGTTTGGGACAACTTGGATGTGTGAAAATACGCTTTTAACAATGAATTTTATCGAGCCTAAGAACAGCTCAGATCTTTCCGGTGAAAATTCAGTGATTGAATTGAGATGTGTTCTACGTGTAAAATACACACTGGATTTCAAATACCTAATATGAAAAAATAATGTAAACTATTTCATTACTAATTTTTGTGTTGATAACATGCTGAAATGATACTTTGGGTACCCTGGGTTAAATAAAATATAGTGTCAAAATGTAATCGTATCTGGGTTTTTTGCTTTTTGAACGTAATACTGGAATATTTGAAACGACGGGAGTGATTCACATTCTATTTCTATTGGGCAGCGCTGCTCTGGAGACTTTGGGACCAGGGCAGCTGCACCTTCTGCTCTGGGTGCATCATCTGTTCCCCACCACCTCAGGGGGCTTCCCAGAGATCTGTCCACACAGCAGTGCTGCTTCTGCCCTTCACTGCACCACAGAGTGGGCGGGGGCTACCACAGAGTAGGAACCTCCAGTACTGGACCCCCACTCCCCACCTAGAAAGCTGCGGCCGGAAGATTTTGGAGAGGAGAGGACTGTGCCAGGGAAACCTTTCTGGGTGCCTGTAAGGAGAGGGGAGGTCGCCAGGATGTAAGAGAATTGTGTGTGGGGAGGTGAGGGCAGGGTCGGAGGCTCAGGGATATCGTTTTCTCAAGATTGTTGGACTTTCCAATCTGTGGGGTTCTCATCTCTGGCCCCACCCCCATCTCTTCCCCGGGCCTCACTGAAGAGCTTGCCTTCGGATCAAGTCTGGCTGCCTGCTGGAGGGCACCTGCTCCTCCCCCCTGTCAGGGACAGCTTGCGCTGGGGAATCTTCTAATGAGTGGAGTCTCCTCGAAGCAAGGACAGAGCAGCAGGAATCGCTAGGAAGCTCATGATGCTTGCATACTGAAGGGTGGTTGGGGGCTCTTGAGCGTGGAGGGGAGCTAAGGACACTGAGCAGATGCTGCTGCAGAGAGAGGCTCCCCAAGGCCATATGACTCCCTGCTTCTCAGTCCCTCCTCCGTGCCCCTCCTCTCTTTTCACTCCTCCCCTTCTGACGATGCTGAGGCTGCTGCCTCTCCAATCCCTGGCTCTGCCTTGACTTCTATTTGAAGCACACTCGGAGGCAGTCAGCATCTTCTCCCATCACGCCTCCGTACCTGGGGTCTCTGGCAGGCAGTGACCTCTCTCTGGAGTCAGCGTCCCCCTTGGGCTGCACTAAACAGGCAACAAAGGGCACCTGCTGAAAGCCAGATCCTGCTGCTGCCTCTTCCTCTGCTTTTCACTATGGTGCATGGGGCCACTCCTGCCTGTTTCCTCTAAGCCCCGGGGCCTGCTGGGTTCTGGGACTCTCTCTTAGGACAACTGCAGCTTCTTGCCTTTGTTAGGCATTTTCTAGGAGCCCGCTTTGTACTCTTCCTCCAAGCACCAGAGATTTGTGATTGGGAGATCCCAACAAGAACGGAAAAGAAGGAAGGAGCGGGGTGTCCTACAAAGGGATTTCTGCAGAGGGATCCCTTGGAAGGTGGAGGACCTCTCCTCCAGCTGCAGAGATGCAGAGGACAGGGAAAAGGCTGAAATTGAAACAGAGTGGGAGTCTCTCCAGAACATCTCTGGCAGGCCTTCTGTGTCAAGCCTGTATGTTAGGCAAGCCCACTGGGATATGTGTTCAGTGGGCAGGTGGGAAGGGAGAGATTTACTAACAGTGAAGGGGGAGAAAGTGAAATAAAATTCCGGATATCACACTTAGTTTAGGCTGCTACTGTTGTGGCCATTTGGCAGCAAGTTTAATGATGAGACAGATGGAACAGGGGTTGGAGGCTCATGCAGACACAGCACTGATGTGTAGTCTGCACCACCACCCCCATGGCACACTCACATCTTCTTTGCCTGAGGTCCTTGGCCCTAGTTCCTTGTGCCTGGGGAGAGGACAGAGCAGAAAAAAGAGGGAAGCCTGCCTGGTTGAGGAGTAGAAACTCTGAGAAGCAAGCAACACTTTACAGCCTCACCTCTGCAATAATCTTATAGCTGTGGTTGGCAATTGGTGGTGATTGTAAGCGTGTGCCAACAAGTAGACTGGAGCCTTGAGAATGTTTCCTGCTTCGTGGGGGGTGGGGAGGGCTGAGCTGACTACAGGTCTGCATCTTCTCCCTGGGACCCTCAAACTGCAAAAGCAGGGGGAGGCAGACTCGCGGGAGGCGTCATTAGCTGCTGGCACGATGTGGGATTAGGTTCTGGACCAATCAGCCTTGAGTTTCTTCCGTTTTGGTACCTGAAGCTGGCTTGGCTGGAATTCCAATGTGGAAGGAAAAGTCAGAAGAGCTTGGCAGTGACCCGGTTACCCCCAGAGTTCTTATCCCCAGAGGGCCGAGGTGCCACAAAGTCAAAGGTCATGTGATGTTTGACCCGGCCTTTGCCCTTGCTCCAGAGGGCAATGAGCCCAAAGCAGAGGGTCACTGAAGTGAGGAAAGGAAGGAAGCCAACTGCTAGCACCATAGCTACCCCTCTGCTATCCAGGAAGAAGGGCCCTGGGATCCCTGGCATGGTGATGTTGGAGTCAGAGAGAGTGCCATTTGGTGGATCAACCTGGATTACTTCCAGCCAGGTCCTCAGGGAGTCATTCCCAGCGACATTGCTGACCATGCAGACGTAGGCCCCTCTGTCCTGTAGCTGCACTGAGCGGATCTCCAGCGTCCCATCCTCTAGGACCCTCACTCTCCCAGCCCTTCCCAGCCAAGCCCCCTGAGGCCTCATCCAGGAGACAGTGGGGGCTGGGTCTCCGTCTCCAGAGCAGGAAAAAACAGCATGTCCCCCCTCCTCTGCAATGACCCATCGCGGCCCGGACTTTCGGATCAGGGCTGGTTGGCAGGTGAAGTGCCCCGGAGGTAGGATGTCTGAGAAGTCCTGCAGGCTCTTCCCCTGGACGTGCCGGGGGCCGGCACAGGCAGGGGGCGACGTGCCAAAGTCCAGGCGGCGGCGGAGCCGGAGCAGCCAGAGGAGTCGGCAGTCACAGGTCAGGGGGTTGCCAGACAGCCTCAGGGTGACTAGTTTGTCTGGAGAAGGGAAGGCTGTTTCCTCCAGCGTCTGCAGGGCGTTGTCTGCCACGTCCAGGAGATGGAAAGCGGTCAAGCCGTGGAAGGCATGGGCCGCGATGGAGGTGAGGCATGCCCCTGACAGTCGGAGCTCCTGGAGCCGCACCAGAGCACTGAGCCTTCGGGCCGGAATGGCCGAGATGGGGTTCTGAGACAGATCCAGGACCCGGAGGAAGCTCAGATGGTGGAGCGCTTGGAAGGGCACGGCGCTCAGATTGCAGCGGGTGATGGCCAGGCTGCTGAGATTGAGCCCCAGCAGGCTCCCAGGCTCCAGGGCCTCCAGGCATGGCCAGTGGTGGATCTCCAGCTCCTTTAGCTGCCCCAGCCCCCGGAGTGCCCCGGCTGGCAGCCTCCCGATATCTAGTTCTCGAAGCCTTAGGGTCAGTAGTGCTGGGAGGCGGGCGAGGGCCAGGCCGGGCACTGTGCTGAGGTTGCAGCGCTCCAGTGTGAGGGCACTCAGCTTGGCCAGCCCTGCAAAGGCCCCTGGGGCCACGAACACCAGGTGGTTATCTCCTACCTCCAGCTGCTGGAGGCTGCCCAGCTCCCCAAAGGCTCTGTCAAGGAACAGGACAATCTGGTTGAGGCGGAGGTCCAGTAGCTTGAGGGCGGATAGGCCTGAGAAGACCCCAGGCCCCATGATTCGCAGTCGATTGCCCTGCAGCCTCAGGGTGAGGAGGCTTTGGAGGCCGTGGAAGGCTCCAGGCTCAAGGATGGAGAGCTGGTTGTAGCTGAGGTCCAGCTCCTTGAGCAGGCCCAGGCGGGAGAGCATCCCCCGCTGAAGCCCCCACAGGTGATTCCCACTCAGGTCCAGGAGCTCAGTGTCCAGTGGGAGTCCCCCAGGCACAGTCTCCAGTCGCCGATGGGCACAGAGCACTGCCCGGGGCTGGGAGGTACAGTCACAGACGGCAGGGCACCTGCCACAGCTCCCTCCAGGCAGGAGGAACAGGAACAGGAGAGGGAGCCATGGGGCCCGGGCTCTCTTTGGAGCTGTGGCCATAGCTATCCCCTCTTCAATCCTGGAACAGATGATGACATGGTCCTTTTTGGAAAGTGACTTCAGAGGCTGGTGACCCTGGACTTCCCTGGACCTCCTCAGAGGAACGAGAGACTGAGCTATCTGTCTCAGCATTGCTGGCACGTGGGGCGCAGACCCAGGAGCAGATGTTCCCATCCAGGAGTAGTTCTGGTGGGCCACCTGCTCAGGGGCCTCCTTGGCCTCCTCTCTGGGGAACCGCTACTTTCCTCCTGCTCCCAGGCCTGGGTCATAGGCCAAGGACTTCCTGGCTCATGGAGCCCTAGTTAAGCCTGACCTCAGTGAGGAAAGCTTGATGTGAATGGGACAGGAAGCAAGGAAGTAACCCGGAGTCTCCCTGGGATGGGTTTTTCCTGTATCTGCAGATCCAAGAATACCTCAAGTCCCTCCTTCTCCCTGATACTTGTTCTCCCCAAGGTTGGCCATCCACCCCCATGCCGACCCTTGTTCCTCCTGTGCCATCCACCTACAGCTTTGTCTAAGGCTCAGGGGGAACCACATCCCTGGATTCAGATTGGAGCTAGGTCCTCACCTTGATTAAGTCCTCCAAACACATTCGGCTCTGCTCTCCCAGGCTCCACTCACTGTCCCTCTGCCGTCCTGCAGCCTAGCCCAGGGCCTGGTGCCCTGAATTAGTAGGATCCACTCTGCCCAAAATGCCTGCATGGACAAAAGCCCAGTGGCACCTTAGCTCTGGCACGGGCTGCAGGGGGCACTTGAATCCCTCACAAGAACCCTCAGGGCAGCGCCTGTAGATGACATTGGGGTGTGCAAGGGACCCAGGGGAAGCCCACATTTCGAGTTTTGTTGCTCAGTCTTCAGTCTCAGGCTTCTCTTCTCTCCCTACTTGATGGTATTTTGATTTAGTCCAAGGTGTGAATCTGAGGGCCATCTTGTCCCTTTGGGATCCAGCTGCCTGAGTGATACTCTAGAGCCAGACTTTGTGACCCAAGGAGACACAGGCAAGGGGGAGACCGCACCTTCCACATGCTGCATGTGGGAAGGCTGGGAGGCCATGTGCATGGCCTGTAGACTGCAAGTGGGTTTCTGGGCACCGTGGGCCTGGGCAGAATCAGGACGATGGTGAGCAGAACGGCCACGGGGACTGGTGGAGGTTATAGAGACGGGCCTCGTGGGTGGTGAATTTACCCTCAAGTCTCCTGGCTTGGTGTCAACAGGCATTGCACAAGGGAGGGGAGGTCCTGGAATTGGCAAGAGAGGGCTAAAGGGATGGAACCAGAGACAAGTGATGCTCGCTGGGAAGCAGGATGCCTGGCTGTCTTTGTAGCTGCAGATCCAGATGGCCTTTGGGGCTTCAGGCTGCCTGGGCCCTAAAGAGTCAGCCCTCTTCCACATGCCCCATTTTCTCCCATGTGGAACTTAGGAGAGGCAGTTTAAGACATGGTCTGACTTGTTCCCATCCAGGAGGATCACAACCTTGGATCCTGATTGGAACTAGCCTCTGCAACCCTCCTTCAGAAGGGCAGATCTGGTGGCTCTCCTGCTGTAGTAGTTCGAAATTGGAGATCAAAGAGGCAGAGCGATGTAGGACACCATCCCAAGGCTTGGGATGAGAGAGGATGGCCCGGGGCAGGCAGAGGCTGCAGACCAGGCTCCTCTGGTCCCCAGCCCAGCCTAGCAGGTATCTCTGGCATGCTGAGAGTTCTCCAGGGACAGATGTGTCCCAGTCTCCCTCATCCTCCCTGTGCCTGTTCTGGGAAGTCCATCTGACAGCTAGCTCTTTATCATTCCCGCTGCAGTTCCTGCTCATCCTTTTTGCTCTGCATTCAGCAAAAGTGCAGTGAAGCATGTAACCCAGCTTCCCTACCTCCCACTCCTGTGGGCTTCTTCTTAGTCCTGAAAGCCTGCTGGGCCAGGGGCTGGGGGATCTGGGGACAACCCCTTTTCTTTATTTATAAGGTGGCTAATTTAATCACAAACTTCCCTTGCCAGTCTCCATGGCTACACAGGACTGGCTTCCAGCCACTTTGCAGGAAGAAATGGGTGTCAGAGCCACTTCTTTCTTTAAAGGAGGTGGGCTCTGGGGCATTATCCCTTTAAGGAACAGGAAACTTTCTTCTTCTTGTCCCTGTCTGGCAGTCCAAAGACACATCTGAACCTGGATATCCCCTCTAAGGCAGACCTGATAGGCACAGGGACCTGCATGGGGAGGAGGCTCTTGGGGGAAAGATTTCTGGAATTCCACACTGATTGTAGAGAACCCTTCCCAGAGGTAGAGGAAGCACTGGGGAGCTGGAGGGAGGTCTCCTTAGAGTCCTTCCCCCCAGGGGCCTCTGGGACCTTTTAGTTTTCCCATCAAAGTCCAGTGAGGCCAGGATCAGGGCTGGGATCAAAGGCTAGCTGGGGACAGTGGGGCTGGCAGGAGGGAGGGGGCATGGGGCGGTAGGGAGGTCTGGCAAGAGGGATAGGAGGGGCACAAACCCTCGAGCCTGCTAGTCTGGCCTTGTCTCTGAGAATGTTACCGAGAAGGGCAGCTGCAGCTTCTGGACAGGAGGCAGGGTCACTTACCGGAGAAGCTGGGGGGGGCATCAAGTTGGACACTGCATCTGTCCGGGGCTGGGGGCCTTCCTATTCAAGCTGCACCGGGGGAGCTCTACCTCCTGGTGGGTGAGTCTCCCTCCTTGCTGCCTGCCCGATGCCTGCTGCCCTCCCGCCTGCCCACTGTGACTGCTGTTGCTGCTGTGGCTGCTGCTGCCAAGACTGAGGTAGAGAAAAGAGCCAGAAAGCATTTCTCCTTTTTTTTTTTCCTCTCTCTCTTTTTAAACCAGGCAAGAATGAGTCTGCAGCAACCCTGTTGGTGCAAAATAAATAAATAAAGCAACCAGGGAGGGCTGCAGCAAGAGCCACTACAGGATGGCGAAGGGGAGGGAGCCGAGAGGGAGTCTTTGGGGGTTCAGAAGGGGTCAGGAGGTAGAGGCAGCTAGCAGCTCCAAAGGGTCTCTTGTGGGCATCCTGACTCCCCTCTGGGGAGCTCTGGGACCAAGCACCTTCCTGTGGGTTGTCTTTTAGTCTCCCAGATGCAGGGCGATTCTGTGCAGCCTCTCAATCGAAATGTCTCCCACGGGTATCATTTTGTGGGGAAAGTTCTCAGTCCAGAACATCTGCCATGGAGCTGAATTTGAGACTCCTTCAGTGAGGGTTCCTGAGGAGCGGCTCCAGCCTCCCTGGGGTGCTGCTCAGAGCAGGGGCTTCAATCCTTATGATAATTCATGTGTTGCTGGGCTAGAAGCCTGGATCTCCCCCAAGGGAATGAGACAGGAGAGCTGTTTGTCTGTAATCTGATTTAAGAACCCCACCCCTGCCCCTGCCACACACACCTCTGGCCTTTGAAATCATTTTATAAAGAATAGCCCAAGTTGGGGTTTATGTTTAGCCAGCTAAAGCCCTCCCCTGAGAAGAACACAACACCCCCACATCACTTGCTGTTTATCCCTCAGAGGAGGGCTCACAGCGATTTGTAAAACCAAGAGAAGTTCAGGGGCACAATCCCAGCCAGAAAAACAGGTGTGTGTCCTGTTCCCTGGTCTCCTCTCTGCGGGAGTTGGGATGAAATTGTGTCTGGCTTCTTTCTCCATGATGACAGGAGGACTCTTCCAAGGGTCTGTCTGGGGCATCTGGCTGACCAGTGCGCAGCCGTCTCTTCTTTTGGGGTTTCTTGTGCTAGAAGACAGCTGGGGCTGGGATTGAGTTTGGGCATCCCCCAGTCTAAGGTTGGTGTACCATGAAAATGTTCTGGGGTCCCTCAGGATGGGACTTTTTCCCTGAGGCCACAAGTGCCTCTGAGCTGTGACCTCAAAGAAGACAAAAATTGTGTCAGAATAAATGAGTCTACAGAGACGCATAATTGCAGTTTGAGTTTGTGAGTATGTGTTTCACCTGCATGTGGATGTGTGTCTCCCATCAGATTTGTGCTGACCCCTAAAGTCTATTTCTAAAGTGCACATAAGAGACTTGAGTTCTAATTCTATCTATGATGCTCTTGGCCTCCATTGTACTCTATCCCTATACCCAAATTCCATAAAAAAAAAAAAATCCCAGCCCCTTCCCCCCATCCCATCCTTATCCTCCACATATCTAGTTTTTTTTTAGACCCCGGGAAAAGGGCAGGGCGCCCAACCACTTCCTTGCTGAGCTGAGAGGAAGGGGGAAGGCAGAAAATCTAGAGATCTGGATTCATGTTATATACAGGTCCTTCTGGGCTCCAGCTGCCAGTCTCTGAGCTTGACACATATCCCCAGCCAAAGCCCACAGGGAAATGCAATGAGGTATTTTAAAGTCCTATTCTTAGCTTCTGAGCCCAGAGTCGACTGGATTCTCCTGGTGTCCTGAGGACACCATGGTCCTCCTAGAGGTCCTTATGTGCCACCCCAGGCCTCTCAGAAGCTGGGGGTGAAGGGTCATGGGAGAGCAGATGCAACAACGCTGAGGCTCGAGATGGTGTTCCTTCATCACCACCCTCTGGCTCTTGGCCCACTGCCAGGCACCCCTGTGGGCAGAAAGCCAGTCTCAGCAATTGCTCATCCCTAGAGAATAGGTGGAGACCACCCTCCCGGGGCACAGGTAAGAAAAATATGAAGGTGGGAGGAGATCCAGGGAAGAGGGCCAGTAGGCCCAAGGGGAGGGAAAGGAGTCCGTTCTCCAGGTCACTCGGACAGCCCTTCAGGTGACTCGATTTCAGTGCTGAAGAGTTCCTTGTAGAGTGGAGGGAAAGTGGCTTGGACCACGATGGGGTGGAGATGTTGGAAAGTGTGCAGCTTTTCCACATGCTGGCTGCACAGGCTCCGAAGCTTCCCCTTGGGCGGCAGCTGGGGACGGGTTAACAGGGGAGGAGGGTCAGTACTCCAGCCTTCTCCCCAGAGCACCGATGTCCTCTCCTGCCTGGGTAGGGAAATCCTCCTGCTTTCCCCTCTGCACTTGGCTCTGGAGGAATGGCTGGATTAGATCCCATGGCGGGTGGGGGCTGGGGGAATGTGTTCAGGAAACTGGAAGCAAGCAAGGGCTGCTGCGGGAGGGGTGCATGTTTTCTGAGTGGACCCCTGCTACTCCTAAAATGAACCCTGGTAAATACTATCACAGTTTCTGCCCTTGTATTACTGAGACCCTGTGGCCGTTGTGTTCTATCACATGCCTCTTGGCCGTCGTGCTCTGGAAGTCCTTCTCATCTGGAATGCCTTTCCATTTCTTCTTTGCTTGACTAATTCTTCCTCACTTTCAAGTGTCCCTCCTCTGGGAATATTTCCCTAGCTACCTCTCCCTGGATTAGGGTCCTTCCCTCTGTGTAATAGCACCTAGAGTTGCCACTCAGCAGGACGGAGACTTGGGCTGTGTGGCTGCTGCAGGATGGAGGAGGGACGACCAGGGACCTCTCTAACAGGCCATGTGAGAACTGGTAGCTGGCAAAGGAGAGGGGTGACGGTGGAGGGTTTGCATTCTGAAGGTGGAGCCAACCAGATCTGCTTTCCAGATGTTTCCCCAGGCTCCAGTCTGCCCTTCCAACCTGTCCAACTGGACTTGAAGTTCTTTAGGACATAGGGTGTGTATAAGTCCTTTCTCTATCCTTGGCACCTAGCACTCACTGTGCCCGGCACATAGCAGGGGCCCATTGCTTGAACGATTATATAAATGGTTCCTTGACACTGGTTCCAAATTAAATTGCCTAAATAATAGGTCTGATGACATCATTTCTCTAGCCTTCAGAGCTCTTCATTGCCTGGAAGTAAAGCCTTTACTCTTTAAGATGGCACTGAATGTCCTCTCTGATTTGCTACCTGACCTAATTTCAAGCTGGTCTTCTACTCCTTCCCTGCCCTCATCAATCAATGCCACTCCCAATCTTATGCTTTAGTCAAAATGTACCACGAGCTATTCCACATATATGTGCTATTTGCCTCCTTATTTTTGCTGATTGTTCCCGTAGTCTGGAATGCCTGCCCCACCCCCATGAATGTCCGTTAAAATCCGACATATATTCATGGCCTACCTTAAATGCTGCCTTCCCTAGGATTGCGTGTATGACCCTCTCCTTTTACCCTGAATTATTTTTAACCCCTTGTTCTGTGCCGCCATTAACATTTCCCCAATATCTCTTATCAAAGTAACCTACCAGGAGTGCAGGGATACCGTGGGAGAGCACTGGCATTGAATCTTGCATCTATTACTTACCAATCAGGCAAACTTGGACAAGTCACTTAAGTTTTTTCATCACTAAAGAGAGATTTTAATACCCGTCCTATTGATCGAGTTATTCTGAGGATGACAGCATGTCTGTGGTAGCACCTTGTTAATGGTATGACTATACCGCTTACCGGTATACCACCCTGTATTAGAGTTACTGGGACATGGGCCTCTTCTTCGTACCACACTAAAGACCCTGGGTGGGGGCAAGGACCACCTCTCTGTATCTTTCTGTTCCATGGTGCCTTGTACAAAGAGATGCTGAGTGAGCATTGGCTCTATTAAAGCCAGATTATTTCCGGATGGGGCTTCCTCCCGATTCCAGATTCTCCTGACTTTCAATCTAGAAGTTCCACATGGAAGTGACGGCCCGGCCCATCCCCTTACTCCCCATTCTGCCACGAGCCCTCTAGCACGATGTGGGGCTCAAGTACTTCCTCCTCTGTGCCCTCAGAGCCCCAGTGTCCCAGCTGGGGTGAAGGGCCTGACCTCTTCCCCCTCAGGGACTGCCATCCTACCTTTGCCAGGATGCCTTGGCGGTGAGTCCTGTAGAGATGGTGATGAAAAGCCTGCTCCAGGTTGTGCTGTAGCTGTTCTACTTTCCTCTTCTCTTGGAGCCCTGGACGGTCTGGAGGAAGGCGTGGGACCATCACAAGAACAAGAAAGAACATGGACATTAACTTCTCCTGGAAGGGGGAAGGGTGTATCATGTTGGGCATCTATGCTGGATTGCAGCCTTCTAGGCTGAGTGCGTGTGCGTCCTGGTTTGAGCATGAAAAGCTCTGGGGCCTGGGGCTTGGCTAGCTGTCTACAAGGAAAACTGGGGAGAGACTGACTCCAAGTGGCCTTCTCCCTGGTACCCTGATACCTCACATAGTCCATTCAATGCTAGAATTCCATTGTGGGGGAAAAATGAGAGGGATTCCATCCCCTAGCCAAGGATGAGCCCAGAGAGCAGAAGGCCTTGGTGAAGTCTCCTAGGCCAGCACCCGGGCCTCTGCAGCAGTCTGTGGCTAACTTCAAAGGACAAACCACCTTTGGCCCTGACTCCATAAAATAGCCAGAAGTCATCTTTTAAGTCTTTATTTCTAGTTTAGGTCTCTGCTCATTGGCAAAGCCAGACAACAGATTATCTCGTTCTGTAAATTCAGGTTAGTAGCACTTCTCCAGGGTCTCTGAATATATAGCCTTCCCTGGCTCTGCCCAACCCACTCCATTCCAGCGGAGTGGGGATCCAGAGTCCTGCCATTATGGTGCACAGTCTCAAAATCAGCTCACACAGAGCCGCGATTCTCGAGCCTGGTGGCACATGACAATCACCTGGAGAAGCTGTTAAAAATCCTGGTGCTCTGACTGTACCCCAGATCAATGACCTCAGAGTCTCTGGGAGTGGAGTCTGGGGAAGAATCACTTTTTATTTTTTTAAAAGACTTTATTTATTCATTCATAGAGACACAGAGAGAGAGAGAGAGAGGCAGAGACACAGGCAGAG